ATTGCATAAAAATAATCCTCCTCTTTGAACAGCAGGAAGAATTCATCTCCAGAAATGTTTGCCAGGACTGTGCATTTGTTGAAATTTGTCACAGAAGAGATCAATAAGTGGGCACTGCTTGAAAAGTAAATCACCTGGGGAGAGCCAGCGAATTGTCATTGTAGTGGAAGTATCTCAGTAGAAAGAGGTATCTGTCCCTGTTCATTAGAAAGGAAAATGAAGAGGGACGGAGGGAATGAGGAGGGTGGATTGACTAATATAAAGAATAACTGTGGGGGGTTAACTCTTCCTGTTTGTGCTGTCAGCACTCGTGCTTTGAGTTAATTGACGTCTTTGGGGACCCTGGAAGGAGGCAACAAATTGTCCTCTCGTTGTACAAAATTCACTGACTTGACAAAGTGGTCTGTTCAAATGCGGAGGCAGAACATTAAATGGAACTAAAAAAGATATCCGCATTTGTAGCAAATACACTGCATTAGAATTTGAGGAAATGTTGAGACCAGTGAAAGGTAAAATTTGCTCATATTATTCCAAGGAATTATGTATGAATATTGCAAAGAAAAACAGAACAAACCCAGCCAATAAACAACCACTGAGACCCTCTACTCAAAGCCTATTTAAAAACAACAAGGCTTGTTCCATTAATTTTAATGGACTTGCAATGAGGATCTAAATTGGCAGGAGAGGGGAAGACCTCTTACATATCATGAATGAAGATATTCCATTCTGGGTAGTATATGCAGCAGACCCAAGAAACTTGCTAAATTGTCCCTTTTACTTGCTGCTATATTTTGTTATCACTAGGGAAAGACGGAGCAGTGTGTATAGGAGGAAAGGAGTGGGAATCATGTCTATGAAACCTAATGGAATTTAACTTATTGAAAGTAGAAGGGATTATCAATTTTATCTGGATTTTTAAGTAATTTAATTTTTAAAATGTTTGATATTCTTAACTTCTTTGGAGTTTGTGTGTGAAACTGCAGATACAATAAAATATTTTATGGCTGCTGGGCAATGAAATTCCACTAGTCCTACTCAAATTTAGAGTTTGGTGAAATATAGCCTGTGGAGAGCAGGAAATCTCAAAGACATGTGCAACTTTACAGTTGTAAAACTGTCATAACAAAGGCTAATCAATGGAACTAATTCTCAGGGTCTCCAGGCATTGAACCAAATGTGATGTTGATTTCTGGAACTTGAACAATGTCACAGAAAGAATACTGTTCTTCTGCAGTAACTTTGTTAATCATGACTCTGCCCTTGTGTTTCCAACATTTGTTTTATTATGCCTTTTCCAACTTCTTCAACATGTGAGTCAAGGCCCTGACTGACATGAGTTTCATTCACTACACAGCCCTGGAGAAGGTTCACCCTGCAAGTTACATTCACACTCTGCATGATGAGAAAAGAGGAGTTTACTGTAATGTGATTGTACTTAAATACCTCCAAGATGTTTATGGAAAATAATGAGTTAAGATGATTTATGATGACTAAAGCCCATGGTCCAGCAGGTCTCTCCTAGTTCCTGCAGTCTTTAGGCCTAGACTGTAATTCAGGCACTCTATGCTACCTGTTCCAGAATCTGCTAAGTTTTAAGTGTTTGTTTTTTAATAGATTTGTTGCGGAAAGCATGTCAACAGCAAACAGTGGCTGTAACAAGAATTCCACATGGACATTCATTTTTGAATGCTATTCTGTTGAGCACTTAATGAACAGCTAGCTATTCTCTGCCTTAATTATTTTGTCATTAGTTAAGAATTTCTAATGAAAGTATAAGGAGTACTCCTTTCATTTTACATTTGACAACTTGAAGCCTTTCAGAGAATCAGACACACAAGTGTTGTCTGGAAAATGGAGAGCAAATTTGGTTTTCTCTTTTTTTTATCTCCTCATACACATCCAGAGTAAAAGAAGCAGATAGCCTGTGTGGTTTTTGTGTTACTGACACAGCCTGAGAATAAAGCTTTTGCATGAATTCACCTTGCAAAAGTCACTACAAAAGAAAGTGTGTGTGTGTATAGACTATTGGAGACAAGGACTTTATCAGAGTACTGCTGATATGTCTGCTGATAAATTGATATTGCACTTCTTGCTACCACTTTCTCTTAAGAGCCATAATAGACATGTACAATCACTAGGGAATAAAAACATCAGATAAACAGTTCCTAGTATCTATCTTAAATCTCTCCCTAATTGACCAAATACATTTCAGTACTAGTTTAATTAGATGTCTGTCCAAAGAGGATCAAACATCCATTCAAAGCCTCAAGTGGTTAAAATAGATCTAGAGGTTGGCAACCTGAAAATGTTCCTATTCACAGAAAGTGATGTGAGGCGCTGTCTGTTTTATGTTTGCCTTTTCCAAAAATGCTTCCCTGTGGCAAGCAGCTGCTATGTCCTCTCCCTCTCTGTTGTTGCCAGTGCCATGTTACATGTAAAGACAGGTACTACAGAGGTCTTTGCTCTACCAGTTCAGAAAACACTAACCACTATTTGCTGCACTATTCAACATTTTGTGTGCTCTGGGATGCCTACAATGGTAGAGGAAGAGAGACAGGAATGGTTCCTTAGGTGAAGCAAAGTGGCTATAAAATGAGCAAAACCTGTTCTTGATGGATCTTAGCTGGCATATTGGAAAAAAATGAATAAGGTATGAGGTTCTGGTGACAGACGTTTCACAAAATAAAACTGAGACCATGGTAAGGTACAAGGGAAATAATTCTAGGTCTTATCTACCTTCCTGCACTGCTATCAGAGGATGCTTTACTGTAGGGCTTGTTAGGTTGTCCCAAGTTTATCAGCATTTTCACAAGCTTTGCTTCAAAACAAATAGCTCAATAAGCAAGCAGAAAATAAAGAATACAAGCAACTAGATGTATGTATTTACCCTTCAGATGATGAGCCATGTTGTCCTGAAAGTTTACTTTGCAATCCTGATTACCAATTGCATGTATTTGAATGATCATCTGTGAGTCCATTATGCATGCTCTGCTTAGTATTCTTCTAGATGTCTTTGTAAAACTATTATCCTGTAACATTCAAGTGTGTTTCCTTCCAGTAGTCCATTAAGTAACATGACTGACGTCTGTCATATATGATTTGTTCTCTTTTCTTTGAAAACACACTTATGTCTTGCTCTATAAACTCCCTTCAATTAAACAACTCACATCAAAGTTATTTTAAAAGGGAATTCATCTCTCCTACACAAGGATAGATTGATTATTAATGCAACCAACAATGAGAGTTTTGTCATATCTGGAGGCCATTTGACCCGTGAGCAATCATTGGTCTTGCTGAAGCTGATGAGTGGGCTAGCTTTTGGAATGAGTAGAAGTGCCAAACTATTTTGTGAAGTAAACTGTTTTACACAGGAGAAGTTGTATGAGGTTCACACCAGTCACAGAAGTGCACGAGCTGCAATAGCGGAATAGTCTCTCGGGCAAGTTTACTGCTGCTACCTTCCCTTAACAAGGAATGTGCACCGCACAAGATTGTGATTTATGGGACAGTCAAATCTACATTTTGGTTTTTTCTCTGAAACAGTGAGAAGGGTTTTGATGAGACTGATTGAACCTGCAGGGGCTATGAATTTTATTGGTGGAATTTCGCATAGAACTGAAATAGAAAGCCAAGAGAAGCTCAAGAAATACAAATGGTATTGCCATGTGGGGAAATACTGAGCTCTGAGAAGGGAAATAGACTGAAGAAATGAAGCTGCAAGAGTGGTGAGGGAGAGTTTGCCTATTGGACAGCAAAATGCCTGTGTTCCAGCAGCTGAATGTGCTTCTGCTTAAGCTGACAAGCAGTGTTGTTAAATGGCAACAGATGCCAACCACCCGTTGTATCTGTTTAGCACCCGACTAACTCTTCTTTTGGGATACAAAAAAGAATAGGTGTTCATAGTTTTTTTATTACCTCTGTGGCACCCCTGTCTTTTTGTCCAAATATTAATTGCCATATATATTTTGTATAACTGCGTGTTGTGTCAAGGCCTGTGACCTTGCTGTTCTCCACTTTGCTGAATTTGTCACTTTGTCCTTACTTAGACAAAAATGTATCAAAGAATCAAGACGTGCACTCGTCTGAAAAAGCTCTTACTGAATTTTTTCTTCAGCTTGTTTCCAACCTTATGTTTCCTATCCAGTCCCTGCCAACTGATGTATACCATGACACCAATGATGACTAATGAGCTACAAAGACATGCTATGAACTTGAAGACTTCTATAATAAAAATTCATTGGGATGAAAGGAAAAGGCCACACATCTGTCACATAAAATTCCAGCCTTTAATTCTGTGTCACTCCTTGATATACCATTGGTGGGCCTGAATTCTCATTTTTAGTGGGACTGTCTAGGAGACTGGATAATATTTCTGAGCCTACCAGCCAGAAAGGGACAGTTCAGTGTGGCAATAATATGTGTGAGTACATGGAATAACAAGAACTGTCTCTCAAACAAAAATATAGTTTGGTGACTCTGTCTCTGATAGGAATAATTTGTTAGCAAGCTTGCTTACCGTATTTTTTTAATTTAAAGATTAGATTAATATTAAGATAATGAAATATGCATGCTCTCTGATCTGGAGACAAGCACTAAAGATGATTTAAAGGACAGTGTTTAATAAAATTTAATGTAATTACTGTAATTCTTAAAAAAAACCCAACCAACATCCTAAATAGGAGTGGGGAAATCTTTTGTGGAGCGGTTTTTTTTGTATACACACCAGTTGCATGGCTGCAGCATGGTTTTAACAGACATCTCAGCGGTGGCATCCAACTGGCAAACCAAAATACCAGTCTTCAGGGTGCTAGAGCTCTATTTTAAAATCTCTACTTGTTCTCACCACAAGAACAGAGAGCCAATTTTTTTCCTCCACTGTCTTAGAACTGTTGCAGCTGTTTTAAAGGAGAACATGAGTTTTCTATAAAAAATGCAGCTATGTGGGCTGAACAGTGAGGCACTGAGTCTACTGCAATCTCTAATTCTGACTTTACATACAGAGACACATTGGGACACCTCCTCTACACAGTGACAAGCCACAGTCTTGAGGACTTCAAGCAACTCTGTGCTCAACCTATTGCAAAAAGGGCAAGAACACCGGCATTCTCAGGAGCTGAGGTAAGTATGCCCAGCATGTTCCCTGGGATTCAAAGAGTGAATGGAATACTCTGCTTCTCTGAGACTATTATTCATTACACATTATTCATATTACCTCAGTAGCACAGCAATCCTGTACCACTTAAAAGTGGTGTGTGCTTCAAGGCTGTCTGTTGGGTCACAGATTTTATCAACAGTACATCTAGTAAGCAGCTAAGACGTGTATCCCTTTGAGGCACAGAGTATTTCTTGTGTGGTGAGTCTGATACTGTGGTCCCTGTGACCTACAGCCAGTCATCCATTAAATCTTATTTATATTAGATTAAATCAGGCCCTGTGGTCTACCTGAGCATTAATTCGGTGCCAAAATTTCTGAAATATTTTTATTCTTCAATAATAGTTTGGCTGTCACAAAAGCTGATTCAAAATGGTGTAGATGTCTGGCAGGATCAGCCCAGAGGAATTTGATTACATTCAGCATCATTGTGTATAGTCCTTCTTCTAGGAACTATCAGGATTCACTGGAAGTTTAACTTTCAGCATAAAAAAGGGGGAAATTCTAATTGATATCCCTGTTGATTAACTAAGGAAACAGAAACAAAATATATAGGTGTATATAAGTAGTGAAATCAAATGGACATCTACTGTAAAAGCTGGCTGTTTGCATGATAAATAGTTGAATGTATATGAATAGCAGTAATTGCAGATTAATAGGCCTATCATAAGACTTTCAAAAAGAAGGACATATTCTAACTACTAATTTTAAAAAATAAAATAAGTTCTAATAAGGACAATTCACAACTTGAAAGGTGATTTAGACTGAAGAGAGAAAGGAAACAACTTTTGAGTGAATATTTACTTCATTGAAACTAAAAAATAATGCTGTCCTTAGTATCAATACAAATATTTAGCAAGTTCCTAAGAGCATAGTCCTTGAAGTTGCTGCTTCCAGCTGCCATTGATTTCAGTGGGACTGCAGGATACTCAGAAGAAAAAATTGATTTGATATCTTTTAAAAACAAAGTATGTCCTGGGGAGACTTTTCTATTGTGCTCAGCCCAGTGATACAGGAGCATAAACCAAGACCTGGCAATGGTGTAAGAGGAAGAGGATTAAATCATGTGGCTGGTGGGCAGTGCCTGTAGGGGCTGGAAATCCAGCATGTTAGCTTTCTGTAAGGAAGGTCTGCATGAAGAATTCTTGTTCTAGTTATGTGAACGGGAAGCTAAATGACTATCCAAATTTTAAAAGTCACTCAGAGAATGCAAATATTCTATCCGATATGTTGTTCTTTCAATATGTGCCTCTTAACAGTTACTATAACTTTTCATACCAGCAACAAACATATATTAGTTACTTTGGAAACTAGTAATCCCACAGTATTAATATCGGTTTAAATGTTTCATAAATAGTAAGTAGTGAAGTTTTTATAGAAGTTCACATGAAAGCAGGCTTGCAGTTGTTAATATACATTTAAATGAACTCCTAATTCTACATCAAAGCTTGGCCTGATGGAGGGCAGTGATGCTGAGGGAACAACGGCAAACCTCCCACACCAAGGGAATGGAGATGGTTTCATGACTCAGCTACCTGGGCTGTTCAGCCAATCAGTACCATTTAAAAAAAATCAGCATATGTCCCACCCAAAGCTTCCTAAAGAATTGCAGAGGGAATCCCCAATACTGTTGGAGCAGCAAATAAACACCTCCCTTCCTTCATAGGCAAAGAAAAGCACATAAAAGGAAAACCAGAGAAAATAAAGTCAGTAAATAAGAGTTGGGGATTCTGGTCAGGAGCATGAGGGTCTCCCACTGAAGTCTTCACCAGTCTTGTGCGAGAAAATAAGGCTCTAAACTGCCTTCTAAATATAATTACCACGAGGTTAGATGAGACCTTTAAAAGTGATTGATGAGTTTAAATTGCTTAATCCTTGAATATCAGAATTCCTTAAAGTGTTTTGATTTCAGTAGAATAAGAACATGTTAGAACTGTAAATTAGTGTTTATTTCATATTATATTTTGTATTAATTATTGAAACAATTTAGAAATTATCAGATGAAAATTAAGTACATGTGTACAAATGATTTTGTAACAAGCTGTAAGCTAAGAAAATATTGCCCATCTTAGAGTTTAAAAGCTACACTTATATCTGCTCTTCCTGAATTGACCAAAGCCAAGAGCTGCAGAGGCAGGTGGGACTTCCTATGACAGTTGGGACTGACAAGGATGGTCCCCAATACAGGAAAATATGCATCAGAGTTTGGGCTGGCATTCCTTTCCACTCTTACTTCTTGGCATAATAGTACAGCATATTCCTGAGTGCAAATAAATGGCATGAATAGTCAAAACCATTCCTTAGAGTATAGACTGACTGACAGAAACTGCACGAGAAAGGTTTACGCAGCACACTGGTTGCTTGTTGGTTTGTTAGAGAATCTTTCTGGGTAAATCTCATTTGCAGGTTTTGAGCCTTCAAAGATTAGTTCACTTCTTTCAAAATTTTTGGAAAAAATACATCCATCAGACTTGGTTAATGGTTATTCAGCTTCTCCAGTTGATCTATCATTTTTATTTCTTCTATATGTGCATAGATGAAAGTGTATTGCATTTTCCTCCATGTTTCCTGGTGTTTCTCCAACATTCTCATTAGATAAAGTGCAATTTAAGAAAATCATCAGGCTCTTTTCAATTAATTCTCCTTATCTGGTTTGTGCTTGGGCAAATAATGCTCATTTTCTGGTGATCAGCTGGTACTTCAGATATACCAAATAGTTTCTTACTATTTTACTGACATGCTAGTTGCTTTATTCTTCACATTTCTTGATTGTGTCTATAATTTCTTTCATACATTTTGTGTGCTAAGGTTTGCTCCCTTTCATTAGAGTCACTTAGGTTGCTAAAGGGACACAAATTAAAGTAAAATGTGAAGCTGATGAATATGTGAATATTGTTGCTAGGCATTACCCTTAACATTACTGTATCTGAAAGTGGGGAGATGCGGTGAATAGGATACAGAGGTACTTCAAACTCATTAAACTACTGTGCAAGACTTCAAGGGTCAAATAGTTGTAGCTTACAGCTGTTAATTTTTGTTCCTTGGGGAAGCTTTATGCACAAGCACAAAGACACTGTGGTCTTGTGGTACTGTAATTGCAGATCTGCTGACAGTATTTTAAAACCTCAAAGGTTATTCATGCTGGCTTGCTCACCTGCAGTAAGTTCCAAAGTCCTAGAACAAGCATAGCTAAAGTAGTAATCAAAGCGGCATTTTGTATACGTGAGGCATTTTAATTCTTTGGAATAGTTCATTCAATAAGCCTTTCGGACCAAAGATTTTATTTACTGTGTGACTGGGATCTAAGCACTGAGGATGGAAGAGTAGCTTGGGGAGCAACATGACTTTCCTTTGGTCAGTGGCTTTCCGCAGTGCTGGTGATTCTGCAGTGCGAAAGTAGTAGAAACTTAGATTCAATATCACACTGGTTTCACACACATTTAAGTGGTTTTGTTAGTTCATCTGTTGTGTGTTTCATGGTGGTGTTGTCACTGTGCTCCTACACCATAATTTGATTGAGCACTGTTACTTTATCATAGAAGAAACTGTAAGGTTCAGCGATCCACTGCACCACCACTTCCATTTTCTCATTACAGAAATTGACCTTCTTGCTGTTGTTTGAAAGGGCTCAGACCACTGTCATTCAGACTTCAAGACTGGTGAGCAGTAATAATAGTATAGGAAGTAGGAGCAATAGTTAAAGCAGCCTGGCATTGTGCTCCCTTCCTGGAATCCATTTTGAATTTCACAGTACAGGCAGCAGGTGTCCTTTGCTACCTCCAGCATGCATTGTGTTTTGCTGTAATCCCCTACTTGTCATTAAATCATTTAAGTGTATTAAGGCAACACACTGCAGGAACATTTTGCCGTGTTCCTTTTGCTTTGTGGGTGATTTTCCTCAACCTGTTTCAGCAACCCAGAAATAGCACAGCACTATTTAAAAAAAAAAAAAATTGGTGATATTTGTTTAAAACAAACCAAGAAGATTGCAAACTGACCTACAAAATCTATTCCCACACATGTTATACACCATGCTGCAAGACCCTCTTGCACCTGGGTGTCTAAGTCTGCAGCTATTGGTGATGCGAGTACGGACCCTGGCGCAAACAGTCCAGCACCTCGGGGACCTTAGCCATGGGTTTGGGAGAGTTTGCGTTCCCTAGTCTGTAAATTCTTCCTTCTGTCCTTTGTAGATGTACTTGTCAGACTGCAGTGTTTTCAGTGTACACATGGCATATGGACCTCACTGAGTCTGCTGTGACATTTCACATTTTCCAGTAAAGCACTTCTGCGGGGTTTAGGGGATGCATACTCTATCCACAGCAGCATGGCTACATCAGCTATGGATTGTACAGTATAGCAGTAGGCATCCCCCCATCTTGTGAAAGAAGGAGTTTTGTCAGAGTTTGGGTAACAAAAGTCAAGGATTTTCCACAAAATAATATTAAAAATAGTTTTGAAATAACTAGTGTCATTTTAATGGAGGTAGGTGAACCATATGATTTAGTTGAAGTGTCAAAGAGAGGGGATTGCTTTAGGCTCTCCTTCCCTTCCCAAACCTTCCCAAACCTTCCCTTCCCAAACCTCCCTCCCCTTCCCTCCCCGCTCCTCCCCACCCCTTCCTCTTCTTCCCTTTCTCAGATAATATCATACATTTCAGCTTGATTAAATATTCATCTGGAACCCTTACCAGACACTAGTGGTTCTTGTTTATAGTTTTGTTGATTACCAGCTTTAGGTACTCAAACTCATAAACCAATCCTTCAAAACACTGATAAAGTTAAAATTTAGTAAAAGGCCTAGGTACTTCAAACTTCCTTTCTGATTCAGAAATTCATAGTTTGTATTCTAATAATGTTTTCAAATTTTCTGCACAAATATGAGAAGTAAAAATTACTTTCTGAATAGCAAAGCTAGCTTTCTTGAGAAATGATTTAACTTTCAGAGCTGAAG